TGGAAGATTCGGAGATTGGAAAATTGAGAGATTGGAAGATTGGGAAATTGGAAAATTGGGAGATTGAGAGATTGGGAAATTGAGAGATTGGAAGATTGGGAAATTGGAAGATTGGGAGATTGAGAGATTGGGAAATTGAGATATTGGGAAAATAAATTTCGAAATTGGGAAATTGGACGATTGGGAGATTGAGAGATTGGGAAATTAGGATATTGGGAAAATAGTAAATTTCGAAATGGGGAAATTAGGAAATTAGGAAATTGAGAAATTGGGAAATTGGAAGATTGGGAGATGGAAAGATTAGAAAATTGAGACATTCGGAAATTGGGATATTGGGAAAATATTAAATTTCGAAATGGGGAAATTGGGAAATTAGGAAATTGAGAAATTAGGAAATTGGGAAACTGAGAAACTGGGAAACTGGGAAACTGGGAAACTGGGAAATTGGGAAACTGGAAAATTGGAAAATTGGGAGATTGAAAGATTAGAAAATTGGGACATTGGGAAAATAGTAAATTTCGAAATTGGGAAATTTGAAGATTGGAAGATTGAATAATTGAAAAACTGAAAAATTGAAAAACTGAAAAATTGAAAAATTGAAAAATTGAAAAATTGAAAAATTGAAAACTAAGAAATTGGTGAAATGGGAAGATAAAAAATATACATAATATGTTGAGGGCAGAGTTAAATAAATCGAAACGAATGCCTAGTATTAACTTCAACGAATAGTATATTAAACTAAAGGATTACATTGGATGTTATTTTTCACTAACACGTGCCTACTCTTATAACGTTACGAGGACAATGAGAACAGATTAGCGGTTACTTTTAGAAAAACATAACCAGGTGTCGCCTTTGGACACAGGTGATCAGCGCGGTTTGTGCACATAAATTTAAATCGCGCAAACACTTAACATAATATAAATACGCAATAAAAAAGAAATTCTGTCTGAAATAGCAATAGACTGATTTGAATTGTGTCCGTATTTTGTGGATTAATCGGTAGAAGAATGAAACAGAAGCAAATAGAGAGGGTAAATATTGTGGCGCATGGTGTGCAACGATGCAAAACACCTGTCTCAAAAGCTTCAGTACATCCATCAAAATGCTTTCCGTCAGAATTCTCGTTGAAAATCCGAATCGGTGGCGTTTAATTGGAACAGTATAACACGACAATTTAAAAAGCAAATCTCTGCGGTTGCAGAAAAGTTCTGCGACCTCTTTTTTCCAACCAGATATCTCGACAAATTTTTAAAAATACCAAAATATTACGCGACATTTTTCGACAACTTCGCTTTTTACCACATTTTATTTTTTTTTCAAACATTTTTACACAAGAAATAGTAAATTTACTAACGTCTAATGAATAATTATTTTTAAATAAACAGTAATTAATAGATAATATAGTAGTAAAGGATAAGATATAGATTTGTGTGTAACGTGATTTTGTATCTCGATAAAAGTGTACACACAATTTCAAAAAAGCATAAAATGCTTTCAAAAAATTAAAGTAAATTACCTATTTCAAAAAATATTATTTCGTCTAAGTATTTCAAAAAATAGGTAATTTAAAAATAACTTGTGATGTGATCATTCGGTCGATTTAGTAGTTTCAGTGTTAATTAATCTTTTTATTTTGTACAATATAATTAATATTTATGTTCGCAAGCTTCCTAGCAGAATAAATGTAATGTAAATTCACTTATATTAAACCACGCATCATTATATAGCAATTACACAATTACCTAAAATTATATAATTAATAATTATAATAAATTATGTAATTAAATAAAAAAATGCGAATTGGTTTAAATTGTATTAAATTTCATTTGAACGAAACAGTGCACAATATAAAAAGAAAACTAATGTAAAATATAATACATAATTACAGAAAATATATGTCGATAAAAATGAAATTACCGAATATGTACTTAAAGTATTGTCAAATAATTTAGCTTAAATTATCGAACACCGATCAATTTGAAAGACGATGGCAAAGATATCTATAGAGAGACTTAACGGCGCATTTTCAATGCAGATTAAATTTTTCCAGGTAATGGGTAACCGTGAAGTGATCCAAGTGAGCCAAAGTAACGGAAAAAGAACCGTTCTGGGGGAAATTCGACGGTGGGATACGAAAGGAAAAAGAGAAAAAAAAGTAAAGTGTTTTTATCTAGTCCCCGATGCTCGTGCTTCTTATCGCGGTGACCGTGGCGCAATTAGGCAAATTGCACGTTATCGATGCTGCGTCCTGAATCGGATACTCGTTGCTTTTTCCATTTTATCTTACTTTCTTTTTTAATTTCATTTTGTACAGAAATGCAGGAGCATCGTCGCTGAGCCTCGACGGACGATTTCATTCGTAAATGTACACGGTGTTTCAGAAAATTGGTAAAATTAATGATGTACAGGGTCGTTCAACGAAAGTGGGCACGATTTTTCGTATAGTATATCAAAAATGACAAATAACACAACAGTGTACTAAAAAATAATATGTGAGTACCAACAAATAATGTTTCAAGTAGAAATTAGTTAACTTTGAGTCGCACATGAACTATAATTATTTAATAGTGATTAAAATTAAGAAACTTGTATATTCTGTTAGAA